CCACCACAGCACCAGCCGCAGCAACAATTAGTACCTGGTCCGTCACAAAAGCCTCCACCACCTCAATCGCCTCATTACCATGCTCTCCAGCCATTGCGAACAGGATCTTATTATCAAACCTCTGGAACTGTTGCCCAACACACTCAACCACCCGTGCAAAATGAATTGACTGGACTACAAACAACCTCACAACATTTTTTTAATCCAGATCAGAACGAGTATAAATACTTTTATGTTATGACCTCACTTGACAATAAATATACATATTTACATTTAGCTTACCTCCAAATATTCTTATTTTAATAATTTGTAGATGACATCGCATGTTTCATGAATTATATTGCTAAGCGCAGATTTGGAAATACAGGTAGAGAACTTGAGATCATAAATTCTACCTGTTGCCAAAAATCTTAAAGTTGTGGTTAATGGTTCATGTACCAGTCCAACTCTTGACGCGCGCCTACAACGTCCTGTTTCCGAACAGGGACGAGTGGGATAAGCCGGGAAACGGCTTATTACATGCGGAAATGTGTTGGTACACGGACGGATCCAAAAACGAAAAAGGATCTGGCGCAGGAATTTACTGCAGCAGTCCAAAGACTGAGATCTACCACAGTCTTGGAAAACACACCACGATCTTCCAAGCTGAGCTATATGCTATTGAAACCTGTGTGCAACTGCTGGTTTGGTTTGGTTAAATACATACAAGCAATACACCGGGAAAACAATATGCATATTTTCGGATAGTCAAGCTGCGCTGAAAGCACTTGAGGCAACGAAAAGCACGTCTATGACGATTCTTCATTGTAAGAAGCTACTCAATATACTGGGAGATAGGAACAAAGTGTCGCTAATATGGATACCGGGACATGTCGGCCTAAAGGGAAATGAACGTGCTGATTCCCCCGCCAAAATTGGTGCAGGCTCGCCATTCGTAGGCCCAGAACCGACACTTAGCGTTCCTAAAAATCTCGCAAGAGACAGGCTCTGTGAATGGGTTAGGGGTGAGACATTCCGAGACTGGAATGACAGTCCCGGAATGGAGCATGCCAAGAAAATCCTAGCAGGGTCATCCAAACATAGAACAGGAGAACTCCTAAAGGCCGGTAGGAATGGAACGCGTGTGCTCACTGCAGTGTACACGGGCCACTGCTGGCTGAGATCTCACCTACAGAGGACGGGACTGGTGGAAGACGCCGAATGTCGACTCTGTATGGAAGATGATGAAACAATGAAGCACGTTATGTGTACCTGCCCCGCTGGGAGCAGGACCAGGTTTGAGATGTTTGGCAAACCCATGCTAGACCTATCAGACCTAGGAGACATATCGCCCTCAGACATAACGGCCTATATTAAGAGGCTGGGTCTTGAGGATGAACTTTGACGCTCTTGTAAATTAGAGCTTGTAGAAACTGAGCCACAATAGGCCCTCGCGGCCTCAGTGGAGGGTCCCCTAGGGGACCCACTCTTAGTCAAATACAATACAATACAATACAATGGTTCATGTGGTGAAATAGAACGTTTCATAAAAGTATCATTCCTTTGTATTAGTGGTGTAACTAAATCCAACAAATACCGGTAAGTCGTCTCGTTCATGCGCAGGTAATTACGAAAATCGTCTGGCTCATTTGCTAGTTCTTTAATCAAATTAATATGGGAATAGGTGTCACTCTTTTCGATCCAAGATCTCCTTTAATTTTTTAATTATTAAAACACCTGCTACTGCCAGTAGTTCGTCTTCTTGGTCCATTATTCTGCACACACTTCACAATAGTTGAATCGCATCTATTCAGGTCTACTCATTGGTTCACTTGTCCATTAATTTGTGCAGTTCAAACTGAACGTTAAAACGAAGACACCAATTCAGTTCGATTTGTGCAAATTTGCATGCACAAATCAATTTGCGTAAGCTGCTTGAACGTGAAAACGGACCATCAGAGAGATGCACCCAAATTCTCCCAGTGACAAATAAATATTATACCGTTATTAATATTATAAATATTATACCGTCTATTTAAAAATTTAGCATCAATGCGTGGCCGTCTCTCATCATGGCCCGTTAAATAAAGTCGACCGTGGGCTGGATTTTACATATAAGAATAATATAATATAAGTTATATAATAATAACTTTTCAAAATTAACAAACTCTCATCTCTTGGAGAACAGTGAAGAAAAAACTAACAAAATAATATCATATTGTCAGTTGACTTCAAAAACTAATAAAAACAATGATAATAATGATAACTAAGTTAGAGACTCTGACATACACATATATCTAATTGCTAATGCAGCTTACTTTTCGCTTTAAGGAAAAACATACTTATTGTATTTTTACATAGTATCTCAGGTAATAAGATTTAGTTTATCAGCTCATACATGCTATAACCTTTAAATATATTGCAGAATTTATTTGATGGATTTCACATATTAAAAGTGCATTCTAAAAATTGGGGGTTAATTTTAATAGATATTTACAGTTAGAATAACGTAATATTATTACATGTATGCTGTAGTTACACATTCTGTACAGGGTCGACATTTCTTTTTTGAAAACCGAAAATTTCCTGACTAGATAGAGCAAAACCTACATACATGTCATGGGCTCGATTTCTGAGATATGTTTAAAGGCATAAACTGCTTATCGATATTTTCACTGCCAACTGAGATACGGGGTCTTTTTGAATTTTCAACCGTTTTGAAAATTTGTCATAACTTTTTTATTTCACGGAACAATAAAATTCTTTAAAACATTTTTAAAGTACTCTTTTAAACACAGTCCAGTGGTATAGTCAGTTTTATTCTACTACATGCTCTTTAGGTAAGAAATAAAAAAATATATATTTTTTTAAATGGAAATCATAGTTGGCTATGAACTTTAAAAAATTCCCAAATTTAACCCTTTCCAACGATATAAAATTGTGGGTCTCTATCTCTAAATGTAAGAGACATATTAGGAGTTTTTCATTATATCGAAGCGCGCTTTGGAACAATCACGCGCCTTAAAATCAAATTCAAATATTATGTATGAAAATTTTGAAAAGTACGATATGTTAAAATGTTATATATTAGCAAACGAGGTTTCTCAAGCAGACAGTGAATTATATTTTAATACATTTCCCGAGCGAAGTCAACCAAACAATAGAATTTTCCAGACATTAAAAAATAATTGAATGTCTTACGGATGTTTCAAGAAGCCAAGATCAAAACCAATTCAAACCTTATAGAACAATAAGGGTTCAACTCCGGGAAGGAAACACAGCTAGACGATTAAGATTTTCCCAGTGGTTTGTCGAAAAGTGCACAATAAATGTTACATTTCCATTAAATATTATTTGGAATTATGAAGCCAGAATAGATACTTCTGTAATATTTAACAGATACAATTCGTATCATTGGTGCATTGAAAATCCACACCTAGTTCGTTAAGCAAAATCGGCAAGGTCGGAGTAGATTTAATACACGGTTAGGCTCTAGGTTAGGTTAGGGATCCCATTTTTACGAAGGAAATTTAAATGCAAATGTTTATGTAAACATTTTGAGAACATATATTGTCCCATTTCTGGAAGGCTTATGGCCTCAGTGCCCGCTTCAATCAAGCGTGCAGCGGCGCGGGTAGTGCAGCGTTTGTGACAAACACATATACAGGAGTAAACATGTCCTCAGTGACATAAGCGTGGAGCGGAGCGGGGAGCGTGTTTGCGTGCGGCCGAGAGTCGAGCGCTCATCTCAAACTAGTTTGTGTTTTGACAGCGTTTGGTGAGCGTTTCGTGATGTCGTTTGAAGAAATAATTTCGGAAATACAAGAAAAGCCCAATATATGGACGTCCGCTCATCCTTACAAAAACAGAATTTTGAGAGCAAAGGCTTGGAGGGAATTGGCAATGAAACTCAATATTGAGGGTAAGTAATTATTTTATTGTAATTTTAAGGTTATGTTACTTATTAACAATTTATATTCTGTTTTCCCAAAAGAAGTCAGTAAAACGATTGCGTACATTTCTCGCGAGCATAGACTGTAGAACTGTTATTTTGTCTGCCTGTATGATTAGAAGAATCTGCAGTACCCATATTTGTGTCACAATTATCGTCACCGACATTTCCTTCTAAATCTCGTAGAATATTATGCAGTAGGCATGTAGATATTACAATCAGACAAGCATGTTATTCATTTGTTTCAATAGCTTTGCCCAAAATACGCCACTTTGCAGTACATATTCCAAAAGCGCATTCAACGCATTTTCGTGCACGTGACATGCGTTTATTGAAATATTCACTTTTTGCATTTAAATTTCTTGATGGAAAAGGTCGCATTATATTTGTTTTTAATGGATATGCTTCGTCAGCGATAAATACATATGGCAAAGAAGTTGCTGTGCCTGGTATTAGTATTAGCTTGTTGAAATTTGAATAGTGAAAAGTTCCTCCATCACTTTGTTTCCCATTTCCTCCTACTTCAATAGTAATAAACTTTTTATTTGCATCTGCCACTGCTTGCAGTATTATTGAAAAATATTGTTTATAATTATAAAATGCAGAGCCTGAATTAGCTGGGCATTTTATCCTACAGTGTTTGCCATCAATCGCCCCCAAGCACATTGGGAATTGCCACAGCCTGTAATATTCATCTGCTATTTTTTTCAAGTCTTCTCTGGTTGGGTGTGGCATGTGTGAATTAACCAATTCCTGCCATATTGCTTCACATGTTGCATACACAATATTGCCGATAGTCGTTTTTCCCATACGAAAACTGAATCGAAATGACGTCCCAGTAGCAAGAAATCTGAAAATAAGTATTAATAATTAGACTGATTTATACTAAAGAACGATAAAAAATAACAATCTCATAAAAATATTCGAATTTATTTATCAGTATTTTTTTTTTGTTTACAGAAGAAACATTAAAAAAGCGATGGAAACATCTCAAAGATCAATTCAGAAAGGAACTAAAGAAAAAAACAATTTTAAGATCAGGGGCTGAATCGGAAGCGTGACAGTCAACTTGGCAGTATTTTAATTTGATGAGTTTTATGAAAGATGAAGTCATCCCATCACCAACTATGGGTAATTTAGAGAGCAACAATCCATCAAATAGCCAAACCAATATCCAAGATTCTCAGGACAGTCAAGCTACTGAAGATGGTAATGAGTTGCTCGATTTGGATTCGGATACGCATTCTTCCGTGACATCTCCGCCGTCGGAAATATCACAACCATCTTCCTCAATACCATCATTTTCTGTTTTGTCTAAGAGAAAACCTCATTTGAAAGACGATTTGCTCGAGATTGAAAGGAAAAAACTCCAACTTATGGAGAAACGATTATCTGACAGCCAAAATGAAGACAGCTTGAATAAGGACGAAGATTTTTTGTTTTTAACAAGCATTTTACTTTCAATGAAAAAATTAACCCATATACAGAAGCTCCAGTTTCGCGGTAAAATAAATGATTGGCTAATAGAGACGCTTAGCCAAAACGCGAGTCAGTTAATAATAATTATTACCCAAATCAGACCTTCTTCCATCAGCCAAGAACAAGTAATTTCTACCCACAAGGAGATACCATATAGATCAAAGTATGTAAACGTTAGGAATAAATCATTATTTTTGCAACAAAAGTTTCATTTATACTTACCGAAGAGTCACTATTAATTTTTCTGCTGGTGTTATTGAATCTGCTATATGAAAATTAGTACTAAGATAAGCATCAAGCTAGTTTCAATTTTTTCCAATATATAGTCAAAGGTTACATTCTTGTATACTCACGAAATTTGGGTTCATTCAATCTCAAAGTTTCAAACAGTGTATGAAATTCTCCAAATGTTTTTCTCTGTCTCACAATATCACTAGGACCTTCTTTAATAAAGTCAAATTTCAAAAATGAGTTTTCTTCCAAGTACATATCAATGTCATCATAAGATGCCATGACGACTCTGTTGTTTTCCGCTGAAACGCTGTCTGTTTATTGAGGACATGTCTGCACGCTTTTAACTCAAGCGCGTTTAAAACGCCGCACGCGCCGCAGAACGCTTTTTCACTCAGGGCTTGGACTAACTCTGGCTGTTGCTAGAGATATTTATTATCAGCAAGATGGTTGCACTCCCCATAACGCCAGGATTACAAAAAAAACTATTAAATGAAGAATTTAGAAAGAATCACAGGAGGCCCAATATCTTCGCCTGCGAGGTCATTTGGAGTTTTTTATGGGGAAAATTAAAGGACCGGATTAAATTAATTAAGGCAAATTAAAGGAGAGAAAAAATATAGGATTTAGGCAAACTTTTGGACTTATTTCACCAGTTCAACTCTTAAACAGCTGAACTCTGTGCGCAAAAAATGTTTACTGTGTTTTCAACAAGCAGGTGCTCAGTTTGAAAATTTTTGCTGAATTGTATTCGCCACACTAAAAATACCTTTTAACATTGGAAATGTTTATGTTATATTATGTGATACTTAAAAAGATATCTAGTTGTCTAAGATGCAATAAATATTAATGGTGTTAATGTAAACAAGCTGTGAGGATGACACATAAACGGCCTAAGGGTTCGGGCAGGCAAAAATAGGGGAAGGTTGAAGGGATAGTTAGGTAAAGACATTAGTCTTAAACAACGAAAGGATTGTAGGAGAAAACAAGCTATGTTGCCAAGTTTAGAAAATGAATTTAGAATGCAGAACTTGTTATTGTGTCGGAACTAAATTGAATATCCAAAATTGTCGGTAAGCAAACTTTTAATTACCAATCAAGGTAAATCATAAAAAGTAATAACATTATGCAATGAAGAACGAAGTTGTTAATATAATTGTTATTTGCTGTACAATAAGCCTAAGATTTCCAAACTAGGACACAATACACCCACGCATCGATCATAAGGTGGATATTTAATTACCTTTGACGTTCTTGCCTTGATATTTCGCATCATCGCATCTCATTGGTCATCCGACAAATCCGCGTCGTCGCGTCGCGTCAGATCCTATCGCGGCCACCCTATTTCTAAGAAACTGTTCACGTCAGTGGCGACTCGTCAGGCTAGGCCCCTGAGGCCGCGCCTCGCCTTTAAAATGAAGGAACGATTTATTTTTTTGTATCGACTTTTTTTGTATTTTGTATATAAGCTCAGTGTAACTTATTACAATTCTACAACACATTCAACATAATAAAACTAAAAGATATATATACTAATCGAAAAAAGTTAAGGATATTGTGTTTACGCTTGGAAGAAAATTTTTCAGAAAAAATGTGTTACAACTATTAATACCTACAGTATCAGATAAAATTAGAGCAACTATAGAAAAATGTTAATTTAACTGCCATTATTTATTTGAATCGGTTTATTTATTTTTGCAATGGAATGTTTCTTTCAACCAAAATATTTCGATTATTTGTTGACTTAAATGCATTCCTTATCGGGAATTTTTTGCATTTTTTCAAATATGTTGATGAAATTCTTGGACAAAATTAGAGCAACTTAATCTTTACGCAGTGTTAGTTTTCTGAGAGTGTTGATACAAGTAACCATTTTGCTCTGTAGAATGCCTCGAGGTATACATTATTCAATTGACTTGAAACAACGCATCGTTGACGCCTACAAAGGTGGCATGTCGCCGGCAGACATTTGAAGGTTTTTGCTCAAACAAGATATTGTTTCGAAGACAATTAAAAATTTCCGGAATCGCGGTCGTATAGTTAATTTAAAACGAGGTGGCCGACATAGAAAAACCAACAAACATTTTGATCGTCGCATTAAACGGTTAGTTCAAAGGGCGCCGAAATGTCAGCTCAACAAGTATTGGCCAATTTGGGGGAACCAGAGGTTTCTTCCAGGACCATTCAGCGACGCCTAGTTGAAGCTGGTCTCAAGGCTAGAAGACCTGCTAAGAAACCGTTATTGTCAAAGAAAAACCGGGATGCGAGACCACTGTTCGCTACCTTTCGTCAGTGGACCGCCCGAGAGTGGAAAAAGGTACTGTTCTTAGACGAATCAAAATTTTGCAGCTTTGGGAGTGATGGTGCTAGATGGGTACGTCGTCCAGAAGGCAAAAGGCTACACCCAAAATACGTAAATCCCTCGGTTAAACATGGAGGAGGAAATATAATGGTTTGGGGTTGTTTCTCTTTCTACGGTATGGGGCCATTATACAAAATATGTGGAAAAATGGACCGATTTGTGTACCGCAATATTCTTGAAAATGTTATGTGGCCTTATGCAGAATGGGAAATGCCACTTAAATTCATATACCAACATGACAATGATCCAAAACACACAGCGAAAATTGTTAAACAGTGGTTTAATGATAATAATGTTCGGGTTTTAAAGTGGCCCCCACAATCACCTGACCTCTATTAAAAATTTGTGGGAAATAGTAGAAAAGAAGATTCGTTCAAAAAATATCTCAAATTGTGATAGTTTATATCAAGAACTTGAAAATGCTTGGATGTCAATTGATGCTGACGTCATTTCAAATTTAATTGATTCAATGCCCAAGAGGTGTGAAGCTGTTATAGCAGATAAAGGGTACTGGACAAAATATTGATGATGCGGCCTTTTTGATACTTAAATTTAGTTTATATTCTTAATAGCATGGAAATAAATAAAAGTTGCTTTAATTTTGTAGCAGTAAAAAATAGGATTATTGGAATTTATAGTTTTTTAAAGAAACAATAGGAAATAAAGATTTGTTAGTATTTTCATGTTTCATTTGTAAATCGTGTTTTAGGGTAGTAGTTTCAAATTCATATTACAAAATAATTTGCCTTAAGTGGAAAAAATCATAAAGTTGCTCTAATTTTGTCCGATACTGTATGTCGTTTGTGTTTAAAAAAATACTGTTTGTAAATAGTGATGGGTTGTTATTTAACTATCTGTTATTTTATAACAATTATTTAGAAATAACATAACGCAACCGTTACTGCTTTTAAAAAATAACAGATATAAAATAACGACACGCAGAGATCGAGTGTTGTGAAACGAAGTCGGCGTTCTGCACCGCCACGAAATTCGATGCTGCTCGAAGCAATTCCAAAAAACAACTAGTATGGATGGAAAACCTATTATTTCGACAACCATCGATACAGGCGGCGAGATACAACGGACAACGGAGTGGGGTATGCGCTACGGCGCGGCGCGTCGTGTTGGGCTGACAACAGCTTAAAAATAATAGGATATAAAAAGAAGCAGCTTTTTGAAACAGTTGCGGGCATAACGCCTGGCTGTCGAGATAACAGGAGTGGGAAAGGAGCGCTGCTGCATCGGTCGATTGTCGATGGAGGCTCGCAACGGGTTGGAGAATAACGCATCAGTTGTTTTAGCTATGTTGTTTTTTTACCTGTTACGAGCATAACAGAACGGCGTTCGAGATAATCGGAGGTTTGAAACAGGTTGGAGAATAACGCATCAGTTGTTTTAGATACATATTGTTTTTCAACCTGTTACGAGCATAACGGGCGGAGGTCGAGATATTATGGCGCTGTATGTTTCAATACTTTGTTATTAAGTTTCAATATTTAAGTATTTATTTATTCTGAAAAATTTTCAGAATAATATTTTAAGATTTTTTAAAAATGTATACAGGGTGTTTTGAAAAATCTGGTCATTGATTAATCACGATCCTGCTTAAAGCCCTTGACGTAAAAAGCTGATTTTTGGAAAACGGATTGACTTTAGGGTGTAGAGGTGCGATAAGAAGGGATTTTTCGAAACTCAAATTCTAAGGGGGTGAAACCACCCTCAAATATTAGAATATTTTTTATTTAAAAACTGGTGAGTTTTTCGAAAAAACTCTTAAACACGTATATTTTATTTTGTTGTTTTACATATTTTGAGATTTTTACAAAATATATACAGGGTGTTTCATAAAATATGACCACTGAGTAATCACTATTCTGCTTAAACTGCTTGACGTTTAAAGCTGATTTTTGGTAAACGGATTGACTGTGGGGTGTAGAGGTGCGATAAGGAGGGGTTTCTCGAATCTCAAATTCCAAGAGGGTGAAAACGCCCCTCAAATATTACAATATTTATTATTTAAAAAACGGTTAGTCTTTCGGGAAAACGATTGGACACGCATAATTTATTTTGTTTTTTTACATATTTTGAAATTTTTTAAAAAATAATACAGGGTGTTCCAAAAAGTTGAGTAATTGATTAACCACGATTCTGCTTAAACTGCTCGACGTTTAAAGCATATTTTTGGCAAATGTGAGAAAATTTTATCCAGTTTGTATGTTAATGGAAATTCTTGCTTTGCTTTATCATCACCATTACAAATTAATAATTCGATGCGAACGAAGTCGCGGGTACAACTTAACAAGTATAGCTAGAGACGTGAGAAATATAAAATAAGAGACGCCCCCCGATGCGCAGTGGACATCCCACAAATTTGCTTCAATCAGATTTTTCGTAGCGTAACTGCATCTCTCTTCCGCCGAATGCGTTCTCTCTCTATCGTGTGCGCGACCGGTGCTATCCCCAAGTCTCTTCCTATATTTGTCAAACTGTACATGCTAGTTTAAGTGTAAAATTAATTCGAACTCTAGTGTGTAGTTGGTTTACTTATGAAGAATATACTACACATTTTCTTATATTGCTATTTTTTGACCGCAAATGGTAAAATCATAACGAAGAGCTTCTCGCCCGTCGAGTGAGATGCACCCTGTACACTGCTACGCAATTCAGAATCTACGCGGATCGAGGGGTAGGGCGTAGGTAGATCGGAATTTATAGATATAGACGAGTGGCGGCATTTTGGCTTT